ACCCCTCCCGAATCAGAGAGTCATTTCTAGAATAACGGGGTCTTTTCTGTTCTTGGAGGAAAGGTTATGGTCTGACTTCTGACCACACGGCAAGGCTGTACCCCAGTGGCTGATGGGTAAGGGCACCTGAACAAGGATACCTGTCTAGCCCTCAGGAGCCTCAGGGAGGTGGCAGGTGGTGTTTACACCTCAACCCCAAATGCGTGTGGCCCCCCCATTTCTTAAGAAACAGTTGCCTCCAAAAGGGAAGGAAGTTGGCAACGTGCATTTGAACAAAGCGGGTGGAAGAGACAGGAGTTTGGTGAAGGTGGTCACAAGGAATACTCTGGGATGGGCAGTCCACCCCGCAGGGCAGGCCCCAGTCACACAAGCCCTCCCAGGCGGCCTCCCAGACCCCGCTTCCCCCCGAAACCATGGTGCCTAAGAAGCAAGAGGCCACAGTATCTTCACCTTTGTGTTTGTTTCCTTTGAAACCTTTCTGCCAGGCTGTCACATACATACGTCAACCCTTCACACACAGGCTGCACAGTCCTCCAGGCGGTTAGATGCGAGTACTGGGAGTGACCCACCCACCCATTTGGAAGAGAGAAAAAAAACCCTCAACCCCCACTGAAAACTCTGCTGATCCTGCACTCTGGCCCCAAAGGCCTCCCCCTCCAAAGGCTGTGCCCCCTTCTCCCTGGCTGCCCCCCCCGAACTCCCAGAGCCCCCCACGCGACCAGCACTCCCGCCTACACACCTCTGCTCCCACCAGGCCCCCTCCCCCTCTCCTCTGTGGTCAACACCAACCCAACCTTCACATCTCGGCAAGTCTCTCCCCGCCCTCCCCTGCGAACTAGATCAGGTCCCCTGTCACACATGCTCACACCTCGTTCTTCCCACACTGCATGGCGCCCGTTGCTGTGACCGTCTGTCTCCCCACGTCACCAAAAGCCCCGCCAGGCAGGAACTGGCTCATGTCGTTCGGCCTGCACACCCAGTGCCTAAGCGCAGGGTGAGAGGGGCCCCAGGCCCCCCGAAACATGAGAGTCCCTGAATCACACTCCGGGGCCATATCCAGCCCATCACCTGTGGATACGCCTACACGCCAAGAATGGTTTTTATGCTTTTAAATGGTCGAAAAAAAATGGAAAGAACAGTATTTTGTGACATGTGAAAATCACATGAAATTCAAATTTCGTAGTCCGTAAGTAAAAATTACAGAAACACTGTTAACGCTCATTTTATGGCTGTTTCTGGACCATGACAGCAGAGGAGTCAGACGGTGTGGTGGCAAGACCTAAAATACTTTCCACGCGGCCCTGGACTTAAAACACTCACCCACGGCTACACCGGTGTCCTGGGTGTCCAGCCAGGGGCGTGAAACACCAGAGCCCGAAAATCAGGACCGACCGTGCTCTGAATGGGCCGCACCCTCTCTGCATAGCTGATGCCTGTTGTATTCAGTGGGCGCTCACAGCATGCCACAAGGGGAGAGCGTCACTGGATACACTGGGAGATCTGGCTCACCCTCCCAGAGGGCCAAAGCCCTCCCCAAACCAGCGCTCACTGGGCGACCACCCTGTGTGCTCTCACTGCACACGTACCCACTGGGGCACCTCCTCTGCACGGGCGCCGCTCAGGAGGTCAGGATGCAAACTTCAGGAGCAGGGTGCAGACCACCCCATAAGGAGCACTGGGCCAGGCGGCAGGACTGGGCAAACCACGTAGGACACCGCACCTGCCTTTAAGCAGTGTCCTAGCTGGGCCGCCCTGACAAACCCCTGAAAAGCGAAGTCTGGACCAAAGATCTAAGTAACACTTTGAGACCCCTGAGTGGATGCCCTCGGGCAGCACAGCTTAGTGGCGCCAGGAAGGCAGAGTTCCCCACCTCTCTTCTGTGTGGGACACACAATGATTACCCAGGCTGACAAATGTTTGTCACTAAGCTGCGAGTGGTTTCAACACCAGAGAATGTGCATCCTTCCCAGGAAAGTGGGTTCATGACTGGGTAGTTACGTGTGACTCAGAAACCGACGCCTTGTCCATTTGAGCACCAAACGGCCCCAAGAAAGGGGTGGAGGGCGGGGAATTGGTCCTTGACAGGCTGACGCTGCCCCTTGTTCCAGGGCCTGCAGAGGCCCGGCAGAGGAGGCTAGTTCCCGCTCACACTTTATCCCCCATCAGTCACACGCTGGCCTCCCTCCAGAACTGTCCCCTGCTCCTCACAGCCCCGGAAAGCCCGGTGAGCAGCACACTCTCCTCACCTGCCCCAGCACCACTGGCCTCTCTCTGCCTGATGGCCGCAGCAACTTCCAAATGTAAAATGCCCCTGCTGCTTTCTCACAACGTGAGAAGGACAGAAATGAAATGCAGTAAAGGGAAAAGCACTACACCTTATCTCATCCCAAAGCACTGACGTCCTAACACAATTACACACTCTGCATCTCAGACACTCACTATTTCCGGAGTGTTGACTTTCAGAAAGGGTCTCAATCTAGCTTCCCGATCTCCGGCAAATCCCAGCCCCTCTCTGGCCTCTGTTCCCTCATCCGTAAAACAAGGCGCTGGACCAGATCCCCGAGTTCAGCAACAGAGAAGCTTAGCAAGAAATTCCAGTATCAGCTTTCATTAAGACTCAAGCAGTAAAACATTTCAAAAAAGCCCAACGAAACCACAGCTTTGCCAGGGAGGGCTGAAAAGACGCTTTAAAACAAGAAACACATGATAATGCAATAAGCAAATTGCTGATTTTTCTTTTCTAAGTCATCTGTCCAGGAAAATGGTATCTGTAAAATGATATGCAACCAGCTCAAGCCTGAGCAGGGCTTTGTCCTCAGTAGCCTAAGATCCTCCCTGCAGATCAGGGGCTCTCCCCTGGCCGAGGATGCTTACAGGCCCTGACAGGTGACAAGGAAGATAAATGACTACTCCCCACCTTACCACCACGGAAGTTTTACTCCCACAGCTCAAAAGGAATCCCCTACACCATCCTTCTCAAAGCGTGCCCCTACTCCGGAAGCCCAAGTCTCCATAACTCCCTTCTTTTGGGAAGCCTTGCCTGTGTTCCCGTTCCCACTGTTTCTGTAAAGCAGACCCTCAGCGACTAGTCAACCTTCCATAGTCCTCAGTCAGGAATCCACATGAAAACTGATTTCCTTTTTTAAAAATATTCCGAACATACAACAAGATGGACGGAATGCTATAAAGCGCCCTGGGGCACCCACCACCCAGTCCTGGAAATAAACACTTGCAAACACACGGGACGCCTGCCTCATCTTCCTATGCGGCAAGTCCATCCCGAATCCAGGGCTCATCCCCCCGCCGCTCTGCACTCACCACACGGCACAGACAGCCGCGTGAGCTTCATAGCCTTTCCATCAACGGTGCCGTCCGCGTGCAATCACTCTGTACCGTCTTCGTGCCCCGTTTTATGCGAGCTAATGTTTCAGCTGTCAACTCTTCATGCTCACCGCTGTATAAACATTCCGTTACGTGAATATGCCACACACTCGGCCACAGATGCTACTCGTCATTTCCTACGGCTGCCATGCAGGGCCAGACGTTCCCACCACATTTCCAGAATGCTCACAACCCCCTAAGGAGGAAGGTGAGCGTCCCACTGGACCAGAGGGGGCTGGGACACACAGGGGGCACACACTGCCCAACACACATGCATGGCAGACCCACACGAGTTCAGGCCACTCGGCTCTACGGCCACCGTCTTCACCTGAACCTCCAAGCCCCATGGAGGGATGAACCTCCATTACTCACATTTCTCTCAATGAGAAAACGGACAGAGGGCTCCAAAGTCAGCTGAGAAAACCTGAAACAGGATGCTCCATTTTCTTTGTTAACAAACAATTCCACAGGAAATCCATCTGACACAGATTGCCCGCATGCACAGTGAGGACAAGCCCTTCTCTGGCAGAAGTCCCTGTGCGCTCCCTGGAGTCATTCCCAAGTTTATACAAACGGTTTCCAAGTCAGCCGGAGTTGTACTGCAACCCTGCTTGGCTTCCCCTGCAGAAGCAGGCTGTCTGCACCCACTCAGATGGCGTGGAGGGGCCGGAAAGAACCCAGGAATCAAAGTCTGCCTGAATGGCAGCAGCTGAGCTGACATGGCTCTGAGATGACCTCGGGCAGCAGCCCCAGCTGTTGCATGCTCTGGAGGCCCGGGAACAGTCCTGGGCTTGAACGGCCAAGGGAAGCAGGCACAGCCCACTCTGCTCTGCACTTGGCCTGGGAGAGCACTCAAACAGGCCAGCCCAGCCCTGCTGCCCGGGAGAAAGCCCAGCCTGAGGACTGAGGGTGGGGGCTCAGAGCCCCCAGGCAGGAAGCCAGGCCAAGAGAGAGGTGTGAGCTCCTGCATGAGGGCCCCGAGGGCCCTGGGGAGAGGAGGGGACCCCCCAGGCCAGGGGAGGCCTCCCGGCACCAGCACTCTCCACCGATCTTCCACGCGGGGTTTCTCTGCCACAGGGTGAAGGAAGCCTCGCATGGGCAAGGCAGAACCGGCTGAAGAAACCCCCTCCCACGTCTCCCAGCAAAGTAACGAGCCAGAGAACAGGCTTGGCCACTTACAGGCTGTGCGACCTTCGCTGAACGCCCCTGCCCCACCGTGCACTGGCTGCTGGGAATTACCGGGGAGGGTCCTGCCCCCTCCGACCCACCCCCCACCAGGAGTCCACGGTCGCCCCCCCCCTCCGCCCCGTTACAGAAGTGGCAGCGGAAGCACCAAGGGGTCGTAACCTAGGCAGATCCAGAAGCCTGCAGGCGCCAACGGCTGGGACGGCTGCGCGGGGCGTCCACGTCGCGCGTGGGGGAGCCCAGGTGAGGGGCGGAGGAGGGGTGCCGGCACCGCTCAGCCCGCAGCCCCTGAGGGGAGATGGGGGGACAAGCCCGGGTGCGCCGGCCCGAGGCGGGAGGGCGCGCGGGGAGAGGGAGGCCGGCGGGGCGGCGGCGGCGGCGGCGGCGGAGAGGGCCGGGGAGAGGGGCGCCAGGTGCGGACTCCGCGCTCCCACCTTGAGCACCGTGACGGCGCCCGCGCTGTGCACCTGGAAGTGCGCGGGCGGCTCTGTGCCGGGCTCGGCCGCCTCGTCGGGGCCCTGGTAGCTGAAGCAGGCGTCCGCGATGTCCAGGTGGCCGAGGGGCAGCGCGTCCTGCGGGCTCTTGAAGTAGTAGAGGTAGCAGCGGCGCGCGTCGAACACGAACCAGCGGCTGCGGTAGCCGCGCAGCGGGCCCTTGCCCGACAGCTTCTGCAGGTAGCCGCACAGCCGCGCCGGCTCCCGCGCCGGACCCGCCGCCGCGCCCTCCCGCTCCTCCTCCTCGGCCCGCGCCCCGGGCCCCG